CGTCGTCACGGATATCAGCTCGGAGATCTCCTACAACAGCTCAGCCTTACGGCCTACAACAGCTCAGCCTTACGGCCTACAACAGTTTATATCAACATACAACACAGCACAACAATTCATCACACAGCAATAACGGCTTACAGCACGACTCAGCACGGCAATATACATCTATAACAACTTAACATCATTATTCAGCATAACCATCTGGTCAGCACAGCATTTTCATCAACTACATCTCAGCTCAGCAATTTCAGCATAATTCAACATCATCATACACGCCCGGCGCACTCATGGTCGCGCCCGGTGTGGCACAACCAGAGAGTATCAGGGAACCAACGCGCCCGACACAATTCCTATTGCGCCTGGCATGAGGGAAGGCAGAGACCTCACAAGGTCTCATAAGCCCGGCGTGCAAATCCCGTGCTCGGCGCAAGAAAGCAGAGACCTCCCCAGGGTCTCACGCGCCGGCGCAATATAAATTGCGCCGGTGTGTTTTTCATCTGTAGCAACCTCGGTCGCGACAGGACGGCGAAAAATAAATTGAAAAAGAGGAGTCGCCACCAATGTTATTTTTTACGGAAAAACATTGGAAAAACCATAAAATAGAAAATAGTCTGCGAAAACCAAATTTTTGAGTTCGGGAGTCGATTACGTATGAGGAAGGTATTAGCACCTCACAACGTTCGTCCTAAGACGATTACCTTTAATTAATTAAACTAATTATTTATAATTTATAAAATATTTATCTCACTAAAATTATCAAATATATTTTATTTAACTAATTTAAATTATGCATTGAAAAAAAGGTTAAAATTATTATTGTTATATAAAAAGGAGGATAATATGCTGAGATTTCTCGGCTGACCGAGGCGCATGCCAAACTAAAAGCTAAGGCCACCAAAAAATATCCTCGAACAACATGATGCGAGATTCCATCAAGCAGTCCGACAAGCCCAGTACTTCTGCGAGATCCCGGTTGACTTTAACTTTGACGTCAGTCGGGATTTTTACGGGGGTAAGTACATTAGTTATGCCGAGTTCCCAAAGGGGGCCAGCCCTGATGACGAGGCTCCCCGCCGAGGCATCTCCACGCAAGCGCCGGTACCTCTGCCTACGGAGGAAGATGACCCGATTATAGACGTGGTAGGCGATGGTAATCCGGACGTCTCGGCCGCGGTGTAGGAACCGGTTCTGGCGGGAGTAGAGTAGGTTTGCTTGCTTTTTGTAACCGGGCCGTTAGTGCCTTTTTGTAATTTGGCCATCGGCGCCGGTAGATAGTTACTTTTTTTTTTGTAAGTAGCCGTTGTGGTCAGCCATACTTGTTTTTAATTGAATTTGCTTTTCAACTTTCCGTGTATAATCGTTCAATAATATTAACATAAATCGAGTTGTATGTGTGGCCGAGAGGCCAGATTTCGTGATTTATGATAGTGTTCGATGCGCGTTGTGTTTGTTTATACGAGCGTGTTCGGTTTTCGTGAACGTTAGGTCATCTAAGCTTCGGCTTATGTTTATGCGGTCTATTAGAGTGAGTTTGTCGACGGAGGGGTTGGTCGGGATTAGTACGCGTTGTGCGTAGTGCTCGGCCTAGGGCACGAGTGTGTTTTGTCGTCGTTGATCGAATGTTGGTCGGTGTCGTCGCCATCGACATAGTGCTCGGCCCAGGCACATCCTTAACCGAGGAGGGTACTTGGGAGGGAAAACTGGGGCGCGAGTGCACATTTCAAACTTGACCGAGGATTGCTCGGGTTTAGTACGCGTTGTGCGTAGTGCTCGGCCTGGGGCACGAGTGTGTTTTTCATCTGTAGCAACCTCGGTCGCGACAGGACGGCGAAAAATAAATTGAAAAAGAGGAGTCGCCACCAATGTTATTTTTTACGGAAAAACATTGGAAAAACCATAAAATAGAAAATAGTCTGCGAAAACCAAATTTTTGAGTTCGGGAGTCGATTACGTATGAGGAAGGTATTAGCATCTCACAACGTTCGTCCTAAGACGATTACCTTTAATTAATTAAACTAATTATTTATAATTTATAAAATATTTATCTCACTAAAATTATCAAATATATTTTATTTAACTAATTTAAATTATGCATTGAAAAAAAGGTTAAAATTATTATTGTTATATAAAAAGGAGGATAATATATTTTTTTATTTTTTTGGCTCGACAAGATTTAGTTCTTGCTCCTACGTATCTTCATGTGCGTCGTTGATCGAACATTGGTCGGTGTCGTCATCGTCGGCATAGTGCTCGGCCCAGGCACATCCTTAGCCGAGGAGGGTACTCGGGAGGGAAACCTGGGGCGCGAGTGCACATTTCAAACTTGACCGAGGATTGCTCGGGTTTAGTACGCGTTGTGCGTAGTGCTCGGCCTGGGGCACGAGTGTGTTTTTCGTCGTTGATCGAACATTGGTCGGTGTCGTCATCGTCGGCATAGTGCTCGGCCCAGGCACATCCTTAGCCGAGGAGGGTACTCGGGAGGGAAACCTGGGGCGCGAGTGCACATTTCAAACTTGACCGAGGATTGCTCGGGTTTAGTACGCGTTGTGCGTAGTGCTCGGCCTGGGGCACGAGTGTGTTTTTCGTCGTTGATCGAACATTGGTCGGTGTCGTCATCGTCGGCATAGTGCTCGGCCCAGGCACATCCTTAGCCGAGGAGGGTACTCGGGAGGGAAACCTGGGGCGCGAGTGCACATTTCAAACTTGACTGAGGATTGCTCGGGTTTAGTACGCGTTGTGCGTAGTGCTCGGCCTGGGGCACGAGTGTGTTTTTCGTCGTCGACCAAATGTTGGTCGGTGTCATTGCTTCCATGGGTAGTGCTCGACCTGGGCATACAATAAAATTGCAAACGATATAATGAGATTTTGGAACTTTTATCAATGAAGTGCCTCGTTAAAAACCTTGCCGACCCAAAACCCTCCTTAGGGAAAAAAGAGTCGGCTAAGGAAAAGAGTGCACTGTTACATCAGCTGTAATACATTTTCAAATGAGAAGAATTCCAGGTTCTCGGAATTGGTTCTCCAGCTTGTACGCTCCGTTGTTCAGGTTGTGTCGGATTCGGAAGGGACCATCCCAGTTTGGGGCGAGTTTCCAATGTCTCGGATCTTTCCTTGCCTCGCCTGTGGCTCTCCAAATGAGGTCGCCTTCGCGAAATTCTCTAGGCTTTACCTTGCTGTCAAATCTTCTTTTGTAACGTTGTTTGGTGGCCTCGGCCATGACTTGTGCTTGGTCTCGAACTTCTTCCACGTTATCCAGGTTTGCCCGGAGCTCGGCTTCGTTGTTCGACTCGTCGTAGTGGGCTCGGCGGAACGAAGGTTCTCCGATTTCCACTAGGATCATTGCATCGGATCCATAGACTAGGCGAAAATGAGTTTCTTGCGTAGTCTACTGAGGGGTGCATCGGTAGGCCCATAGCACTTCGGGTAACTGCTCGGCCCATGCCCCTTTTGTTTCTCCAAGGCGTTTCTTCAACTCTGACGCGTTGTGCGTAGTGCTCGGCCTGGGGCACGAGTGTGTTTTTCGTCGTTGATCGAACATTGGTCGGTGTCGTCATCGTCGGCATAGTGCTCGGCCCAGGCACATCCTTAGCCGAGGAGGGTACTCGGGAGGGAAACCTGGGGCGCGAGTGCACATTTCAAACTTGACCGAGGATTGCTCGGGTTTAGTACGCGTTGTGCGTAGTGCTCGGCCTGGGGCACGAGTGTGTTTGTTTTTTTGGGCTTCTAAGCCCCTTTGTCAATCAAAAAAAAAAAAATGTAAAATTTTGTCGATTCGAAAAACTACAGAAACATGACTTCTAAAGAAGAAAACAAAAGCCGAATTTTAACGTGAGACAAACTAATGTTCTGAAAAGTAAGCTTTAACTAGATCTAAAGATTGCAAACCTAAGAGATATAAATTATTTTTTTTAAAGATCATGAAAAAGTAAAATAAAATAAAATATGTCAACCTATGTTAGAAAACAAACAACAGTTAAATATAAAGTGAGAATAGAACACAATAAAAGGAAGAAAGCGTGAGCAAGGATTTTGACTTTTTTGTTAAATTAAACTTATTTATAACAAGATAAAATAAAATACACTCATGAGATTAGGATTAACCTCATTTAAGAAGCTAATGAAAAAAAAAGGACATTTTCTTATTTATTAGTTTGATATTTTGTTTAACTAGTATTTTAGCTTGTGCAATATATAAAAATGCTTATTATATAATTAAAATTTATTATAAATTATATATATATATATATATTATAGTTGGTACGATAAATTAATTATATATATATATATATATATAATATTTATGTATATACTATGTTTAAATATATAAATAATATTTAAATTTTATATAAATAGATATTTTTAAACAAATTATATTTTAGATTTATTATAAATAATTTATATTGTAGTACAAGATTATTTTTATTTTTTGTTAATTTATTATAAAATATTAATATTTAATTAATCAATAATTATGATAAATAACAACTGAATTAAATAAAAGTTAAAAAAATTCTATAAATCTTCTCATCAAAGAAAAAGTCTTAAAAATACTTTTGTGTAAGATAACATTTTGTATTTAATATATAGGAGTTGATATTTTATCAAATTTTAGTTAATACTTAGTTTTATTCGATTTAAATTAAACATAATGATATGTTTATAAATCATTAGAATAATATTATATTGATTAAACTAATTTTACCAATTATTAAAATTTAAAAAAATAAACACTTACATTTTCATATTTGAAATTATTTTCAATCACCAATAAGATAAAATTACCTCAATTAAATCACGTTTCTCTTAAATATGATTTAAAGTTATATTATTTTTATATTTAATTTTCACATTTATTTTTAAAGAACGCACGAACCTATTATTTGAATGGGCCATACTGATAGATTGATAGTGATAGCCAAATGGGCTTTAATAACATTGAAATAAAACCCAAAGAAACTGAGCCCAATGTCGTTAAATTAAACCTAATAGTCCGGAATAGAGGCCCCGACTTAACAGTCTTCAATCTTTATATAAACACGACACTCCATTTTTAGGGTTAGGGTTTTGCACTGCGGCTGCTACTTCGGCTTCATCTTCTTCGATTTCCTCAAACTTTATCTGCGCAGAACCAAACCTCTATCACCATGGGGTAATGCAACCTTAAGTTTTCGACAATTTTTCTTCTTATTTTACTGGACTAGTATTATTGCGTGACCTTCCTGGAATTGCTGTGTGATCTTAAAATTCTGTTATTTTGGTTCACTCTGGAAATTTTTAGCGCCATTGATCCTTTTGTTGCCCGTGTTGCCCAAATTTGATTTACATTGGATAATATGCGTATTTATGGTCGGAGAATTTTGTTTCATTGAAGAGTTTGTATTCTGTGGTGTGTGGTGAGTTATTGGATTTATTGTTGCTGTGGATGGATCCATGTCCAGTTAAATTTTGTCATTTTTCCCCAATGAAAAGTTTGTGCTTTTCAAGAGTGGGACTTGTAGGGAACGTGCTGTGTGATTTGGTTCTTATCTTGCTGCCATGTCCTAATGGTGATTACTTTTCCAACTCTTTTATGGTGGCATCTTTTGAGCTTTGGCATTGCATTCACTAGAAAACCGAAATTGAATTTCATCTGTTCATGGTTTCAAAATCAATTGACAAGTAGGCTAGGATTACTGTGTTGTAGTGGTTTAAGATCAAAGAGTGCAGTTTATTTGTTTTCATTGACAATATCGAGTGGTTCATCCTTTTAGAGATGATATTCTTTGAATGCTGATGCTGTTATTCTTTTGTGTATACATACTACTAAATTTTAATCTGCATATGGACATCATCAGAGTTAGAAAATTAAGTCTTCTTTGTTTCCTACTACAGGAAGACACGTGGAATGGGAGCTGCCCGCAAGTTGAAGTCACACCGAAGGAGACAAAGATGGGCTGACAAGGCATACAAAAAGTCCCATCTTGGCAATGAATGGAAGAAGCCTTTTGCTGGTTCATCCCATGCAAAGGGCATTGTTCTTGAAAAGATGTAAGATTATTTTAACTTGTTCTGTTTATCTATTACTTGGATATTTCCTCAATTAGATCATCTGATGTTGAGAAATTATCATGGTTTTTTATGTGCAGCGGTATTGAGGCTAAGCAGCCCAACTCTGCCATTAGAAAATGTGCCAGGGTTCAACTCATCAAAAATGGCAAGAAGATTGCTGCATTTGTGCCAAACGATGGTTGCTTAAATTACATTGAAGAGAATGTAAGCGAATAGTTGATTATATTATTTACGTTGTTTTGGTGGTGATGATATGCTTTCTTCTCTGTACCATAAAATCTGCAAGGGTATTATAATCCCATTGTATTGTGGTTGATGGTTGTAGGATGAAGTATTGATTGCTGGATTTGGACGAAAAGGTCACGCCGTGGGTGATATTCCTGGTGTCCGGTTCAAGGTTGTGAAGGTTTCTGGTGTGTCTCTCCTGGCTCTGTTCAAGGAGAAGAAGGAGAAGCCAAGGTCTTAAAGTTGTGGGACGTGTCCTCTCTATAGCTTATCCAAAATATTATTATGAATTTTGCTTCATAAGACTAGATGAGTTCATTGGACAATTTTGTACCTCTAATAGCAATTTTTCTAAACTTAATTTATATCTTACTTCCTTTCTCCATCTTTTAGAGATTGCATTATTGAATGAATTCCTGTCAACTTTACGCCATCAGGTGGTACCTGGAAATAGTCACTATGAATATGGTTGTTGTTTAAATCCTTAAACTTGGCTGGATGAGCAAATTCCGAGTGAATGTGTCATTTGCTTTAAAATCCTTTAATAAAATTGTTTGGAAATTTAAAGCAATTGTTTTTCAAATATTGATAACAACTGGTTATTTGATTGCCAGAATTTATAGGAGGTACACTTTCTTAAATTTATAAGAGTTCTATGATTATTTATATACTGTTAGTGTAAAAAAAAATTATAGTGATAATTAATCATATATTTTAAGAGTTAATCACTAGTGTAAAATTTTTTTACATTGAAAATCAATTATATCTCTTAATTGTGTCATGTCACTTTTAAAAGTAAATGTGTTAGAGTGACATGACACAATTAAGAGATATAATTGATTGTCAGTGTAACTGGTAGTATATATATGATTAACTCATTTTAATAGTGTCTTGTCATTTGTTTATTTAATTAAATAAAAGTAAAATAAAATAATTTAAAAAATATTATTGGTTGCCGGTGTAAAAAAATTTATACTAGTATATAGACGAATAACTCTTTTATTAATATGTATTTATGTATATTATTTAAATAAAACTTTAAATTTTGATAAGAGAACACCAATTGAATTTTAAAATTGTACTTAATTTAAAAAATATTATAGGATGGCATTATAGATTTAGACAAAATTTATGTTTTATTAGAATATACTATTTTGCTACATGCATTTTTGTTAGCTATCTAGTTATCGGATATTATTAATTAAAAATGTCAATTTTTTATAATAACTATTTTTTTTGGAGTATCTACCGCCGATAGCGGTGACTAATCTCCTCGCTATATTGAAGGCACCTCAAAGGGTGGGATAGCTGCCTCAAAATATACAAGGCAGGATTAAGCGTGAATCAACTCCTACCACCGAACCACATGCTTAGAGTTTTATAATAACTATTTTAATTCATAATAAATTAATTGGTAATATTAATTAAAAAATGTCAATTGCAGCTAATTTTGAATATTTATTTTTGGATTGTATTGTATGGATTAAATACTATTTTTAATATTTGTGTTATCTACTTCAGAACTTTATTTAAGAAGTTTATTTCATTTTTTAAAATCTCAAAATCGTAAATAAATCTAAAACTCCTCGAATGAAGTATTTGACAATAATATTATAAATCATTTGAGAGAGAAAAAAATGTTCTTAAAAGACTTTTTAACATATCAATATTTCAGGATAGATGTTTAATTTTAAAAAAATATGAATGGAAGGTAATTAAATTTATAAAAGTAAATTATTGTAATAATTATAACATTGACAAAAAAAATTCAATTATAAAAAATTACAAGTAATTTTTTTAACCAAGAGAAAGTGTATTTAAAAAAAAATAAAAAAAAATAAGAGTTTACGAAAATAAGGGATGATTAGAAGTTCTGTTGATAATCTATTGTTTTAGTATTTAAAAAAATTTAGGAAATACGCACTTGAAATGAAAAAGTTATCATATATTTTTTTTCTAATTTTTTTAACACATTCTTTTTATTTTTATTTTTTTATAAAAAAAAGCGTAGACATTTTATGCATTAAATCAAACTAATTATTTATCATAACTTTCTTATTGCTTAGTTATTATAATCACCAATTTTTCATTACTAATTTTTAGATATATTTTCTTTATTTTATTTAATCTGATTAAACCAATAATTTTTTGTCATCCAAGATTCTAAAACGACCTGGTAAAGTTATTTTTCTGAAGAAATAATTTCATCTAGTTATATTCCAAAGTTCATTTCAAATACTAAAGGATAAATAAAGCGAAATATTGCCACAGATTTTAGGCATCTGATGTGATTTCTATAAGATTAAAATCCCCAATCTTTCCACAGTTAACAAATCGTTAAATTTTATTTTTATATAATTATTTCGCTATAAAATTATAATAGATATCTTTAGCGAGAACATTCTTAAATATTTTTAAGATTTTTTTTAGGAAATCTTTTTTATGAGTGTATTTAAGATATAAATTATTTATTATGAATCTAAAATATAATGTATATGTTAAAAAAATGATTATTTACAACATTTTAATTATAATCTAACTTATATATATAAAAAATAAACAGTAACCAAGACTAAAGCTTGAATAATAAAAATAGAAAATAAGTTAATAAAATTAAAGGAAAATAAACTACTTTAAAGAAGTGAACGAAAATGCCAATGTCACCTCTAAGAAGACTTAGTTTAAGTTTCGGTTTAGGTTTTTTAATGTTATTTTTCTTTAACTAAAATGAACCAAGACTTAAAGCTTGAAAAAAAAACATTATGCCTCGGAATCATATTTGAAAATCATAAATTATAAAAACCATGATTATCAATAATTATTAAATATGTTTAATTGATGATAAATATTTTTAAGAAATATTTAAATATGATTTAAAAATCAATTTTTTACTGCATTAACTATAATATTTTTACTGCTATAAAACTTTATTTTTAAATAAAAAATGTTAATTTCTCACCATAACAACAATTTGGTGAAAATTTGTATAAAAAACATTCATCAAGAAACCATGTTTTAAGAATGTTACTTTTTAAATGATAAATCATATATGAAAAACTAACATTCTCAACTTCAAATTTAAAAAAAAATAAAATCATTCAACGTATTAATCATTCAACGTATTAATCATCCCCTAAGAGTTTTATTTTATCTAAACTAACCTGTTATTTATTATTTAAATAATCATAATTTTTTAATACTTATACAATTTTTAATTGATAACTAATATATTTATTTTATACATAACTTAGTAATTGTATTTAAGATTATACTTATTTAAAGGATAAAAAGTTGTTTAATTATTTTGAAGGCCCTTGCTTATATAATACTGATTTTTATCAAAGCTATATACAGTGGCGAAAAGAAACTGCAAACGAATGTAATATTAATATCTCAGGCATTTAAACACTGGTAAGAAACTGAAAATGAGATCCGAAAGGATATATGGCACAACGTGGTTCACTTCGTTCAAACATCGAAGACGATGGACACACGGAAACGAATCCATGGAGTAAGAAATCTTTTGAAGACCCCATCAAATTCAAGTAAATAGTATAAACGAGTACTTCAAAGATGAAAAAGATTTTCCATTCATGACTTGGTCAGAGTACATTAAGATCAAGACTTATATGGGTTGCACTTTTAGAATAAAGCAGTAAACTAAAAGATCAAGTTCAACTTAAATTACACAAGCTCACTAGTTTTCTTTCATAACAATGCTCTCGGGCACAATCAAGTTAGTCGATTTTGCCTCTGAAATTGTTGATTCTGTAAAGACAACGCCATCCATGTTGCAAAAGGAATCCTTGACCGTAAACGGGGTCCTTATTGAAGCTGCCACATCAAAGTTGGTTGGGGAGACAGACAAACATGTAGTAGATGAACCCTTTAATAATTCCCCTTTCTTAGGACAATCAATAAGCTTTTTGTGACCAGATAACTCCAGACTACTGGATTTGTCTAGGGAGTTGATACCAGTCTGCAAGAAAGAAAGGGAATCACCATTCAACTTTTCCTGTGTCTCAAAGTTTAGGTCCATATGTCCAACTTGTTTGCTCAAACAATCAATTTGATTATCAAGATGAGCATTTTCCAGGTTATTGACACCCTTATGTGGTAGCAAGTCATGATGAGCATTCTCCACCACATGGAAGAGTGATGCATTTTCAGCAGCACCCATGGGTATGTCAGAAGAGCTTTTGACATTCTGCACACAACCAGATGTCTTGATTGGAACATCTAATGATGCATGCAAAGTATTTGGATGTGGAGCTTGTTGGTAATTGGGTTTTGTATTTTCAATTGACACGATAGATCTAGATGGATCCACCTTTCCAACTTCAGCTTTGTTTTGGCCTTCTCTTGGACTCTCTGCTCCATGTTTTGGCAAGCCACCAGGTACAACAGAGCGTGGTTGCAGTCCCCCACGTGGAGTGCGCACTAAGGGCTTCACCTGCACAACATTATGACACCAATTCAACAAATGCACTGCAATAGGGAGATAACTAAAGAACTAGGAAAAGTAAAATATCATAATTTGCAGAAACATATATTGCATCTAGAATAACCACTAAATAGTGTGTGACCAAAGTCATAATGATATGAAATCTGTAAACTTATTCAAGAAAATCGTACTAATCACTAACCAACATGGTCTCTGACTACGCATCAAATATAAACAAGGCAAAACTCACCCCATCAAAGAAACCAATTTTAGGTGAAGGTAGTCGAAGGCCTGAAGGTTTCTTGTGAGTTGGAGGAAGAACTGTCGCTCCAGGAGTAGTCCTTTGCTTTTCACTAGTAAACCCAATATGTTGTGCCTCTGGCTTTTCTAAGTGTGAATCACTCTGAGGAATCCGAGAATTTGTACCTTGATCTGCATCAGTGTCCAATGAAACTTTTCTGCTTGAGTCACTATCAAGGCTGGACCTTGAACTATTATTACACACCCGCTTAGCCATAGAAGTTGAAGAGGATGACTCCGATGAAGACCAGTCACTGATAGAGCTAGCAGGTGAAATACTAGGAGAAAGCTTTGTGGCAGACATCAAGCTTGAAAGACTTTCTGCTTTTTTTCTCGAAGGTGTTTTGACTGCTGGGCAAGATGAAGTTGGCTCATAACTTCTTTTTAAGTAATTAAAATAAGATTTACCAGTATCGTCAGGCAAATTGTTACCAGAAGAGATGGAAGTCACGGATTTAGTCCTGGTTGATACTGGTGGACCAGAAGGTGATTTGGAGGGTAGTGAGGGCTTAGGTACAATGCCTCGAGAACTTCCAATAACAGATGCTTTTGTCACTGAACTGACTCTATCTGAAGAGGTCAAATGAAAATAAAAGTTAACTGCAATTCAGAAAACGGCAACCATTATGCAAAAATGAGAAACAAAAAAATGGTAAAGCAAGTTCTAACCACCAACTATTCGTTTTGCCTTGTCCCTATCACTTTTGACATGTAGATTGCCCAGTGATTCTCTCTTGGAAGAAATTGTGGAACTTGAACTAGACTTTCCTAGTACCTTCGATTGCTTTAAAATAGATGACTCTCTTCTTGTAGCAGCAGGCTTCTTCAAAATAAGAAAATAGTCAGGTATACAGTCACTCAAAATTTCATCGAACAAGCCTGAGTGCTTTTGTCCTCTGCCAATCATTAGCCAGCAAAATTAGAAAAACAAGTAGTTCTATTTACTTGCATACCTGTGGAAGTTGTGGAAAAATAGTATTATCCTTCTTCGTCATCTTCCCAAATCCTTGCATGCCAGCACTTGGATTCTTAGAAGCAAGCGGGGCCTTCATCTAATATCAATACAAGGTTATTGCAGACTTTTTAGGGGGCTTAAAAATGGTGCTACAGGAGGCAATTAGATTACAATGTTCAAGACAGGAAACCTTGAACCCCTATTCACCACCACGCACAAGTAGAAATCCTCTCCATCCCTATGCTTTTGTGTAAATAAAGACTATCATATCTATTGTTTAAAGATGCAAATTTCCTTTATTCACACAAAACCATAGAAATCTTGAGGATCTCAATTCAATTAACCATACAGATTACTCTGCGGCACCTACGGCCAGAACTAATAAGAGGCACCTCTGTGATGGGATTACTTTGGGGACACATGCAACACCCAAAGTTTTGGGACAGATGAACAACCAGTCTACAGCTGAATCAACCCACATGGGCAGAATCACGAACATTTTTCCTTAGTATTATTGAGAATCATTCAAACAAATACATTACAAATAATACCTAGTCTCTACCAGAACTGTAATTTACCTTGTTGCGAGAAACCACGCCAACCTTTTTTGAAGCTGAAACGAAAAGCCAGAAATCAAAATACAAGCAAAGTAGACCAAATAGCATTCAAAAACTTGTCAGAAATTTAGAATGCACAAAGACAAGATAAAAAAAAACAATAAATAAAAAAGCATTTGAAATGTTCATCCACTCGTTTCATGCATCTATAACCAATTTTTAGTTGCAAGTAAAACAAAAATCACCTTCAAATGATACTTATGAAAAGAAAAAAAATGCTTAATCATGATACCTAGTTAATATAAAATGATTAACTAACTAATCTATATAAACCCATGCTTTATAGATTCTCTTCACAATTCAGGATCTATGCTGAACATCACAGTGAAGACAAAGAACTTACTGTCATGAGTATGAAATCCTGGAAGCGCCCTAGGGGAGGGAGGCACTTTGGTGTTTGTAACTGCAGGGCAGGACTTTTTGCTAGATTTCTGAATTGAAGCTCTTACATCCTCAAACAAATCACCCTCCATCTCCACACTTTCAAAGGTCAAGCTATCACTGGCTAAAGTAGATATTGACTCACACGACTTGTACACATCCTCTTGTATATCCGCTAATTCATGCTTCTCAACGCCCTCAATTATGCTAGACAATTCCTCAGCATCCAAAACCCCTGAAAAAACACGCATCAATCAAAGGCAAAAAAAATTCAAGATCCGAGCACAGAAAGACAATTCGAAGCAAAGAAAGGTACCAGCGCTGGTGAAAAAGGCACTATCCCAGGCCAAGCTCTTGCGCAGATTGCACTTGCTGTTTTTCTTAGGTTTTCCGGTTCCAGATGAATCGTTGGAGTGAGGCTCGTGGTCCCACTGCTGGAGTTTGGTGGCGGCGTCTTCGAACTTCTTCGAGTTCGGAGTGCACAACAAATCTGCGTTTTCAGAAATGGAAGATTCGAATCTGGATGTGAAAAATTGAGAAGAAGCAGAGGGATTTGTGGATAGTCAATAAACAAAAGAGTGAGAAGAGAAAGAAAGAAAACCTGAATGTTGGTGGTCGAGAGGGTTTCCATCGAGAAGCGAATCGTCGGCGGAGGAAACGTCGAAGATGCTGAGGCGTCGATCTTGAACGTCCCTCTTTCTCGGGGAACTCGACGGAACGGAGATCATGGAGAGCGGTGGCGAAGGAAGAACGGAGGGAGAGGAGAGGTTTTCGTTTAGCAAATTTTGAACTTGGGAGAAGCGGCTAGTGTGTCACCAAACAACAGAGACTTCTTAGTTTAAAATTTAAATTATTTATGTATAAATAAATAAAACTGCGACGTCGTGGAAATTGGAAAGTGCGCCATGCACACCGTTAAAACGGGAGCGTCTCTTTTTAAGCTATGGATTCTTTTAAAACTTTAAAAATGTTTTTTTTATTTGAATATAGAAACGTCTTAAATTAAAATAAGTATATTAATATAAAATAAATACATATTATATTTGTAAATTGATAATAATATCATTTTTTTACATTGTAAAATGCTTAAATTGTTTACTCGTAATAAAGGCCCTAAAATGATTTTATTTGAGTTAGGAAATTGTGATTAGTCGTAATTAGTTAGGTAATAGTCGTCTTTGTACATTGCGAGTTGATTGGAATTAACGTCCTACCACTACGTTATTTCTTCAATTCCTCTTTTCTTTTTGAGCTATGTAACATTTTTAGTTTTGCTTTTTGTTGGAAAAAATTATTAAGGGAAATTATATTCGCTTTAGTTTTTTTTTTAAATAAATCTTTTATTAATTATGAAATGAAGGATATATTTCATAAATAAAAACAAAACTATTGATTTTTTTTTTTACTTTACATGAGTAGTGAGTTATATATTTTTACTTGAGTATTTAACATTATTAATTGAAAAATTATTTAATATTATCATTTACTCAAAATAGTTTGTATTATATTTTTTTAAAAGGTTGATATTATATTGTATTCTAATATGATAAATTATTAACTTATTGATTCATGTGATATTTACTGATATTTGTAAATATTTGTTAATAAAATTTGTGATGAGTATAAAATAAGTCACTTTAATGAAGATATTTGAGTAATATGTAAAAATATTTTATTTACTTGTAGGTAAGGTAATCACACACGTGACACATAAAAAATGGTTAGCTTTAATAAATATTTACAAGTAATCAATACAAATATTTTATTTACTTGTGGATAATCACACACATAATAGATAAAAATGAATAACTTAAATAGATATCTATGAATAATAAATCCAAATATTTTTTGCCATATAAAAAATTGATAACTAAATTAAATATTCTTGATAGTCCAAACTTTTTTTAAGGGGTTTAAAAGTTCATACTATTGATTAAAAAAAAACTATGATAAAAACATGTTCCTACAATATTAAATAAAAAAATTTCCTACCATTATCATTAACAATGGTATTACAAGAACACACATTAAACTAATTTTAATAGAATATGGGTTTTAAAGTAAACTTATATTAAAATTAAAAAATAATTGAAGCTTTTTAATTTTTCAAACTTACAACTATAAACCACTTTAATAAACAAAGTATTTAGATTTAATATTTAATTTAGGATTTCATTTATAGTTTAATTTGACTCCTATAAAAATAAAAATAAAAATAGAGTTTTATACTACCAACCAATTAAAAATAATTATAACTTAAATTAATTACTAGAAAAGTTAACATTTGATAATTAGATGAAAGTGCAAAAGTTTATTATATTATGGATGTAATTTAATTAAATTATTTTATTTAATATCAAGTTTTTATTTTTTTTATAGATTGTGGGTATAAAGATTCATACATCATTAAGCAATTAGAGATCACTTAGATATGTCCTTTACCCATTCAAAGCCCAATTTAACTCGTATGAATTAAAGCCCAAAACACTGGTTCTGCCCTTTTGGCATTGTATTGTTTATTTTCTCAATTTTCCCGCCAAGAAAAAGAAGTTTTCTGGTCCAAATAAAACAGTGGAAGAAGAAAGGGAATAGGGAAGCGAAGGCGACGTCGGAAACGGGATGCACGGAACACCGGAAGAGACGGAGCAGTTAATAGGATACGGTTTGGGATCCGTATCCATGGACCCGTTCGGGTTAATGGATATACTTGACACTTACTTTCCTCAGCAACTCTTCACCATCGAAGAAACCTGGTTCAATCTCATTTCTGCTCTCATTTCCTTCTTCTCTTCGCCGACGGGACAAAACCTCGCTTCTCAGGTACCGCAATTTCTCTTCCTTTATCCACTCTTTCATTTCCTCTTTTCCGAATTCTATTTGAGATAGATTCGTTGAATCCGTTCCCTGAGGCACTTAGGAATTTTAAATATTCAATAACACCTTGATTAGGTTTCTGATTCTTGTTTGCGATATTGCGTTCGCTAATTACGGCATTTGTTGTCTTGTCAGTAACAAGCTATTAATGTGTAACGAAGTTACGAACGAATGCATTCATTAAGATCACAAATAAGCAAAATGAATTTGTATATTAAAGGCCTGTTTGGATTCAAACTAGATGTACTTTTGAGAGTTTTTCTACTGGGAAAAGTTATTTATGTTCAGAAGAGAATCTCTCAAAAACACTTTTAAGTTTGTATGCAAACAGACTCTAAAAGGAACATCTGAAGAAGCATCTATTGAACACATTAAATTTGTTTGTTATGGAAACTAGAATACTGAATAAAGTAAGGACGGAACACGGTTCAGTGTTGGGTAGCTTTAGTTAGTGAAAACACGGGAAGGAGAAAATTTTCTCATTCGGATTTTAAAGCTTTTTAAGCACCGTTGTTTTGGACACAGTGATATAGTGAATATTTGATTTGAGTTATGCTGACAGGTGAAAAATGATTATGGAAACTATGTCTTGTCACTTGACTTGGAGCAGTTGAAAGGCTTATGTTTTATTAAGGAATTTTATGAAATATTAAAGGAGAAACCTAAAATTGCTCTCTTATGCATGGGTGCTGCCGTTCATAAGGTATGCTTGAAGTCACGCCAGTTCTTGCGCAAACAAGTGCTTATCTAGTGTTGGCCAAGGTTTTATATTGTTTAAATAATAAATTGGAAACAGGTTTTGCTTTCCAAATGGAAATATCACGATCTGGAGCTTGGTGCAAAGGTAGATATTCGTCTTCATAACTGTCCTGAAACTATGATTGCGCTGAAGAACTTAAAAGCAGCTTACATTGGTATATCATCTATTCATTGTAGTGATTTTTGTAAAAAAAAAAATTCTTGCTTGCCAAGGTTGGAGCTTTCCCGTTGTATAGGAAAAAGAATCATTTTAATATTTTATCATCTGTTGGTGATTTTACAGACAAGCTTGTCTCAGTTCGCGGTACTGCTGTGAAAGTCAGCACTGTCAGGCCTCTGGTGGTGGAAATGAGTTTCGAATGCTGTAAATGTAAACAAACAATAACGCGTATATTTCCTGATGGAAAATATTCTCCACCATCTACTTGCAATTTGAATGGCTGCAAGAGCAAAATCTTTAATCCGTTGCGATCAACTGCTCAAACTATTGATTTTCAAAAAATAAGGTGACCCTGGTGCTTGACTCATTATCTCTATTCTTTCACATACATTTGGCATCCCTTTCCCTTTACTCATTCGTTGGAGCTTCAGTCCTTTAAAACCCTTTTTTAATGCACGTGCTGCACTAGAGTTCAAGAATTATTAAAACCTGAAGACCACGAAGAAGGACGCGTGCCTCGAACAGTGGAATGTGAGCTTACTCAAGATCTTGTTGATACATGCATACCTGGAGACGTGGTGACTGTTACTGGAATTATAATAGGAATTAACTCTTACATGGATATTGGAGGAGGTATGTCTGAGCCTGCATGTTTTTTGTTATTCACTGTATATGGTTCCCTGTTTTAACACTTGCTTGGATTTTGAAGGTAAAGCAAATTCAAGTTTGTTAGCAAAAATACCTAAACTCTATTTTTACTTGAATATCTATCTAATATCATTTTAATATATATATATATATATATATTTGTGTTTGTTTACTAATATTTGAATTTGAATTTGGCTACATGCAAAATCATTAATGTAACTGTAATGTTTGCCAATTAATGACCTGGTACTCTGGCAATAATAATAGAATACTTCTGTCAAAGATGAAGTCATGAAACACAAGTAGTCACACCGTCTTAGCATCATATCTGTATATTTTTCCGTAGAACAGAAGTTTCCTCTTTCACTCTGATGTTGGATTGCCCCAGGTTCTGCTTAATTCTGAAAGGCTACACGCCTGGTTTTCTGTGGCCAAAACTTGATGCATGAAAAGTATGCTAAACTTCAAAGCTAACAAATTTAAATTCCAAAGAAAATTATAGCTATTAGCAAATCTTATGCAAAAGTATATCCGACATCCATTATTTCATTACAACCATAATGAAGTGAACTGCTAGATACTGTGGGACTTGTTTACACAAGTTATGAAGATCAATCATTAACAGACACACTATCACTTGGCAGTTGGCTCAAAGATTTACGTAATTATTTAGTATAAAATCATAATGCATTTGTTTATTGGTTTAGTTTATATAAATATTCTGGTGCAATTGATGCGGGACTTCAGACAACCTATTACATTTGTTGCTATTTTCAGTATTTTGTCTGGCTAAGTTATCTCTGCTTTAAATATCTTAATTACTCTACATATATAAGATGCAAATTTATTCATTTTCAATCATTTTTCTTATCTTATGCAGCTTCCGGATATTTATGCAGGGAAGTCAAAGAACAAAAACCAAGGATTTTATTATTTGTACCTTGAAGCTGTATCCATAAAAAACTCAAAGTCACAGTCCATACCTGAGGATCTGCAAGACTCTAATCCCAAAGCTAGACCAACTGAGCTGTTTGATTTATTTTCCTTTTCTTCAAAGGATTTAGAATTTGTCGTGAAGTTTGTACAGGAGCACGGTTCAGATTTATTTCGGCAAATCCTTCAATCTATATGCCCATCCATTTTTGGGCATGAACTTGTTAAAGGTAAATATATGTAACATAATGAAATGTGGCTTGGTGCTGGTGGTCATCGGTTCTAATCCTGGAAACCACCTCTCCATTCTGGAGAAGATTGTATACATCTGGCTTCCCCAGACATTGCCATGGCAGAAGTCTCATGCATGGGTCCACCCTTCTAGCTGTGTGTTTAATGACATGTTTCTTATGGCTTTTTTAATTGTTAGTATAACCTTGTTAATGTTTCCCTTCAAAAGGTCATAATCTAACTAGCCCAACATACTTTTATTCTCTTTATCTTATGAATCGACTTGTTGACATGTGCATTGTTAAAAACTATTTGGGAAGAATGTGATTCACCTTATTTAAAATCCTCTAATGACATCATTTGGGGAAAATATTTCAAAATTAAAATTGCAAACGATATAATGAGATTTTGGAACTTTTATCAATGAAGTGCCTCGTTAAAAACCTTGCCGACCCAAAACCCTCCTTAGGGAAAAAAGAGTCGGCTAAGGAAAAGAGTGCACTGTTACATCAGCTGTAATACATTTTCAAATGAGAAGAATTCCAGGTTCTCGGAATTGGTTCTCCAGCTTGTACGCTCCGTTGTTCAGGTTGTGTCGGATTCGGAAGGGACCATCCCAGTTTGGGGCGAGTTTCCCATGTCTCGGATCTTTCCTTGCCTCGCCTGTGGCTCTCCAAATGAGATCGCCTTCGCGAAATTCTCTAGGCTTTACCTTGCTGTCAAATCTTCTTTTGTAACGTTGTTTGGTGGCCTCGGCCACAACTTGTGCTTGGTCTCGAACTTCTTCCACG